GTCCCTGGCTTTGAGGTAGAAGTGTTGGTGGGGCATGACTCTCAGGAGGGAATAACAAAAAAGGAGATCGTTGAGCCCAATATTTATCCCGAGGCGCCTATTGAGCTCTAAGACCCCCATGATTATTCGGAAGACATTAAGGCAACATTGCCCGGGGAAGAGGCGGAAATGAGAGAGGAACTGAAGAAGCAAAGGGGGTAAAGGAAACCTAATTCCACCCTCTATTATGGCCTTAGTATAGAAGGGCATGGCATCCTCGGCCCCGAAGGTAGAAGAGTGCAGCACACGGGTCATAATCCTCTATGTCTACGCACGGAGGGATGCCGTACTTGGCCCTAAACCTATTGATCTGCTCATCACCCTTTACCTTATACTTCCCCGATCCCGAAAAACCGGCCTGAGGATTCTCGGGAGCAGGGCGACGACGAGGCATCTCTAAAAAAAATGGAGAAAGAAGAGGGTATTGGTTCTTGGAAATCCCTGAGGAAGTTTCCCGAGGGTTAAATCGCTATGTATCAATCGGATGACACCTCCAGTCAATCGGAAAACAAAAAGCTAGGAGGAAGAAAAGAAAGGGATTCTGAAACTCACCCGAATGTCAAAACGGAGTTTTTTTCTGGGAAACCTTAAAGCGACTCCCTCCAGGAAGTTCAGAATCAACGATGGGTCTGCTGGCTTTAAGATCTTAAGGAAGAATGGGCAGTCGACGATGGAAGAAGAAACAAAACTCCGGCGAAGATTCAAGAAGAAGCTCTCTTAAGGAAATTCGAAATGGCAAAACGAGGAAAACGGAAGAGGAGCCCCCTTTATATAGAGGCAATTTTCATCATTGGGCGTGAAAAACGAAATGGCGCACTTAATGCGCACGACATCCCAAGCCGGGGAAAGCGACTCGAGACAATGATGAAGTACTGGTGGTTGTTGGGAAACCCTTCGTCTCCTTACGACGCGTGTCCTCGGTGTCAGAAGATCGAAGGCTGGGGGCAGTTGATGGGACTTTTCTGAAATACCCTATGATGAAGACACGTGTCCTCGGTTTTACTAAAACACTTGCTAAGATCAAGCACCATCGGCGCACGAATGTCCTCGCCCCCGAGGTACCGTCATATAGGATCATACATTCAGTATATTTTACAACCGACATGTGGCCTCGGTCTGATATGTACCTCGGTCGGCATACCTCCCTCGGTCCCCGAGATGAGCCTTTCCTCGGTGACGAGAGGTACCCCCATCCTGGACGCTTCCTCTACTCCAGGATAAGCTATTGACGTACAGGTCATTATCCTAGGCTAGTCTAGGCTATTCATCATGACCTCGTCTCACACAAGTAATGTCAGAACGTACTGGAATACAGAAGTCACAACCAATAGGGGATGGACGAGTGGCATATGGTATCACATCAAAGACAGACAAACTGCATGTCGTTGCTGACACGCGACTTGGGAAAGCAAACAATTAATTGCACCATTCCCTTGATGAGACCGCATTCAATGCGGTGAGGCTCAGAAATGAAAGGCAATAAATGCTCCTATTACAGAGCATTTATTGCATCCTCCCCGAGAGGAGCACATTGTACCGTCGGCATCCCGATGATCCAGCATTGATTGCTCGGGACCCCGAGCAGTTAATTAGAGAAGACATTCCTCATCAGAATCAATGCACACGCTACCTGTGCCTAATGATCACCTACTGATGACACTGACAGCAATCATGAGCTTTTAAGGTATAAATACTCCTTACAAAAGGCAAAGCGGGTATGCAACAACAAACTCTTTACTACAATACACACTCAGTGTTTTCTCCTTCCTCTCTCTCTCTCACTCAAAGACTGACTAGATCGTCGGAGGGGATACGCCGGAAAATACTCCGGCGCCCTTCTAACTTGTTCTTCTTTGTTCCAGGATCCTCTTCCAGCCTTACTGGATCGTTCTCCCGCTTACCCAGGGTCTCCCGTTGCCGTTCCAGGTTACCACCGGACCTCGCAGGCTGTCCCTAGTAGCGTGGTTGGTCACTCAACTGGCTCACTCGAAGTTCACTAGGGGAGAGATCTGTTCTCGTTTTTTATATTGTGCAGGATCTTGCACGCACATTAACAATTCTTAACCGTAATCAGCCTAATCTTCTATTTCTTTATGCTCGATTCGATCGCTGATTTCGTCTTGATTTTGATGTTTAATTTGGGGTTTCTGAATTATATATGTTCCTAATCCTACAGAACCTCTGATTTGGTGTTTCTGATTTATATATGTTTCTACAAAGCATAGCAGTATGGTAGCAAAGTAGTACCATATTTTATCCCTTTTTATATCATATATTTTTATTTGTAGTGATTAGAGAAAATAACAAAGTAAAATAAATTAATAAAATAAAGAAATTTTACACAATGATTTATGTTTATTGGTGAAAAATAAGAGGTATGAGGAGAGTTATTTTTCGGTCCGTAACCCTACCCTTCTACATGAAAAAATATTGAGCATAATCGTTATATCACGTCAACAGTGTCACGTAGTATAACGGTCCACTAATAAGTAAACAAGTGTGCAAGTGTGGCTCACAAAATTTTATAATCACTGAGTCGTTTAATACATAACCACCTCTATGAGAGGAAATGAGTCATATTTTAGTTATTTTGTAGTTTTTTATTGAGCAATGCTACACAGACTTAAAAAATTGATTTAATGATGTGACTATTATATTTGTCATTGATTTACCTATGAATCTCAGTATTTATTGACACCCACTACCTATTCAAATATAGGAATTCATCACATCAAGTTTTTAAGTTAATTTTTGTAAATCTATTTAGCATTTTCATTTTTTATTAATTGATACACCCAATATTAATTCTTCTAAAGATGGGTAGGGCTAGGGCTAGGGCTAGGCTGCCCTCCAATTCTAAAATAATTGGCAAATTCTCCGGTCATTTTTGAAGGGTGACGATACTCCAACTCAACATATTTAATTCCTTTTTAAAATTTAAAATTTTAAGTGGTTTGTGAATAAGATAAAATTTAATCATGTGGTGGAATTCTCATGCTTCAAAAAATGATTGAAGAATCTTTCAATTACTTTAGAATTGGAGGGGAGTCATACCCGATTCAAGGAGGCAAACTCCTTCTCTACCTTAATTTATTGCAATGGAATAAGTGAATATTTTCTATGGATGAAAGTGTGCATAGCAAATCCCCAAAGTTATTACTATTAAAGGTAAAGTTACTACTTTTAAAAGTGATGTTAAACTGATGTAATTTGTGATCGATCATGAACAAATAAACTACTTAAATTAGTTGTAAATTTTGCTTTGTAAGTTGTAATTTTTTCGTTGCAAGTTATAATTTAACATTTAAAAGTTATAATATTGATGATCGATCATAACAATTTGTTGCAACTTCCAATAGAATACTCACCTCGATATCCACAAAGTTAATTATTCAAAAAATAAAAAATAAAAAATAAAATTATTAGTCAGCCAACAATTTAAAGAATTCTAAAGAAATAAGAAATTATATTTGTTTGTATTCCACATAAAGATCAAGATTGTTGAGGCAGAAAATTGGTCAGAATAGAACAAGTCGGTACCTGCCTAGAGCTTCCCAATGACGAGTTTAGCGATGGTCACCTCCCATCCAGTGAAGAGGCAACGGTTATATTGATAGTAGCAGTGTCAAAATAGTGATATTGGCTTAATCAAGTGCAATTTGACTCACTGACAAAAGAAAGAATAAATAATGAAGAAGAAACGCGTCCTCAGGATTAATCTAATTACAATGCGAGATTTGCTAGTGGAGATTTTGCAGAGTGTATTGCGCTTTGTTGGAAGGGGAGAAGGTTCAGATATTTGCGCACACAAGTGTTGCAGATATTGATTTGATCATTAAGTAATAGATGCTAAAATACAATAAGAAAACGCTTGTTGTTTGTTTAGTTTAATTTTTCATGGCAACAACAAATCACACTATATATATAATCATATGAATTTATAAATCTATTAGACTTATTTTCAGACTTTTGTCTTCAAATTGAAGTTTATCAAGTGCTTTATGTTGATATGCTACAGGCTTATTAGTGGCATGGATTATTAGTTTACTAGGGGTAATTCGTGTTTGAAGGTACAGTACAATGTGAATGATTTTGAGAAGAATGTTGGTGGCCATTAGACGAGTCTATTTGAAACCGTCGAATGAATTTATTGAAGTTTACATTGTTTTATATTGTAGATTATAGATCTCACCTTTTTTGGTAACTTTTCTGAGGAAGATGCTTCAAGGTAAAGCTCCAAAACCAGGTGCCTAAGGTTGAGCCTAAAAACCAAGTTAGCAGTAGTCAAGGAAGACATTGGAAGGCAAGGCCAAGCCCAGTGAATGTTAATTGAATATTGATGACAAAATTGATATTCTCTATAGCCACCTGAAAATTTGACTATAAACAAAACCATATTGAGGATGCTCAACAATGGTTTACCTTTAATTGTTTGTTTATTGATCATTGATTGTTTCTATTCATATTCTTGACTGTTGATCTTGCACGAGACCAATTTGTGCATCATCAGTTTGGCGACGTCTATGGAAAATCAACTAGTTTTCCTACTCTTTTGATCCATGACTATCACTACTAGATCAATGAGCCAATGGCCGGGAGACAATAATCCGACCCACCGGGAGGAGGCTTCGCCTCCCCTTGCACCTGTAAAACCATCTGTTACTATTACTCCCACCGCTGGCCAGCTGCAACAACTCCTCCAAACCATGAAGAGAGTTGGAGTGTTGTATTTAACACAGTGCAAATAACCTCTTGCAAATAATTACTTAATATCATAATGCATAATAACCTCATTCGTCATTGTGATTGAGACTCAAAGGAACTATTATTATCTTCTCATTATAGTGCAAGAGGGAGATATCCCTTGATACTTTATTCCACGTAGCGTCCATCTTATGAATCATTGTGAATCTTGACATCAACTATGTTCAGGCATTCTGGAATTTTTTATCTAACGCTTGATGGTTGTTCATTTTGCTCCTCAGTATAGTCATGGGCACAGGGGAAACAAGATCCATTTCTCCGGCCCTGTATTTGCTCCATCAAAGAATGTGGATCAGATGCTTATAGAGTATGATCGCCGGATCCAAGAAACTGCTCGCAGGGCACGGCTTGAGAAGGCAGGAGTTGGTAATGTTCAGGCTCAAGTGATTCAGAAAACAGCTAATCCAATATATGCCTCCAGTCGTCGAGATGGGTAAATCAACTATGACCTGTTTATGGGGGTGGATTTTTTTTTTGGTTGGGGGGGGGGGGGGGGGTTGAGAATAGGAACTCTGCTATGCTGACCAGATATTTTTACCAAGTTGTGCTTAGTCTGATAAAAGTGTTTGTTAAGCAGTTTCATTTTGGGGGAGTGCCCCTGTGAAAATTACATGTTAGTGTATAGTGGTTTTTTAAGGGATTCAATCTTCTTAATTTAATTCGAAATTGACACGATTAATCCATTTATTTAAGAATTGAATATATGATAAACCAAACAATGCTCAAACTTTCTCCCAATTTCAAGAATGCAGACACACACAGATATACATATATTCTTTTTTATGTGTGAGTGAAGAAGAAAAGAAGCTGATTGACATACCATGTGACTTCGACTATGACTAAACGATGTGATCCAGTGAGATCTCAAAAATAGAAGAGTAAAACAAAGTAAAACACAGATTAGAAAGTGTTTTTCCAACCTACTGAAGAGAGTTGGAGTGTTGTATTTAACACAGTGCAAATAACCTCTTGCCTATTACGTATCACAGGTATTAGAGCGAAACTCAAGTATCATGTATAATAGGAGTGGAGTTAGGAATTTATTCTTGAATGTTGCTTGCAAATTGCAAAACGAGGCATCAACGAGTGGGGTGGTCTAGTAGGGTATCGACTGAATTTCTCGCCCTAATATTAGAGGTTTGAGTATTAGAGTTCACATTAGAGTTCAGTGGTTGATCGTTATGTTAAATTAAATAAATTCATTCCCGAAAAGAGCAATAAATGTGATCAAAAATCTCATGATTCTACTATTGAGATCCTACCGAAATAGTCTCCAGGCGCTTCCCTATGTACCCAAAAAAAAAAAAAAATTAATACCAGCCAAAAAAAGGTTTTGGTAGTAATTTAGTGCAGATAGAAGGTCACTTTGGCAGGCCAATGATTATTTAAGCAACGTGGACATTTACATTTTTTACCCAACTTCCCACGTCATTGTGCTAGCTAAGGAAGGAAAATATGGAAGTGACAATACTATTTTTCTTTCTGGTTGCCATGGCAGCAACTTCCCAAACAATGTCAAACCCAAACCCAATTCTCCTTCTCAGGTCATATTCCAGTGCTGGCGGTCACCGGATTCCGGGCATCGACTGCCTAAGCTGGCGTTTGGCTGTAGAAACCAACAATCTCCGTCAATGGAAATTGGTCCCAGAAGAATGTGAAAACTATGTTGGTCACTACATGCTCGGCAAACAGTACCGGGATGATTGCGATAAAATGGCAGAGATTGCTCTGGAGTACGCCGAGAGCGTCGGGCTCGTTGGAGATGGCAAGGACGTTTGGGTTACTATGCTCGGTCTGATGTTGGATTCGGGTGAGGGCCATGACTTTATAATATGGTGTAATTTTTGAACTTTATTATCTCACTCTCCCGCCTTCTTTAACAAAATTATGTTTGTTTATATAAAATTATAGTCTGTGTATTTGGTAATGTTTTTATATAAAAAAATAGTACTAAGTTTTATTTTTTTTTGATAAAAATATAAAACATATTTAGTAGTCTTTTATATTTAAAAAATTATAAAAACAAAAATAAAAAATATGTTTGATATTATACCAAAAATTCACCGTCCAATCCTACTGACCTCCCAAAACCACCACCAAAACCCAACCCACCACCGCTGAAACCCACCCCCAATCCAACTCCCACTATCAAAAACTACAACCCACCCCCACTACCACAATCACCGAAACCCACTATCCACTACCCACCCCTAAAACTCCCCAGCAAAGTCCACCACCCAAACCAGAAACCCACCTTCAGAGATGGGAGAGAGAGAGAGGGACCTTGAAAAAATGGAGTGATTGGCAATAGCAATGGCTTCGCAGTGGTTGCTGATGGCGATGACGATGGCTTCGGTAAAAATTGTACCTTTTATTAAAAAAGATGGTAGTTTATGATATTTGGTTAATTAAGTTTAAAAATAAACTACAATGATGTATTATCCTCCCTGGATTTCAGGAACATATATTCGGTGCTCATCATCACGTGATACCGTCAAGTGGTGCTCACGCCCTACAAAAAAAATATTACCGCACTTGCTTATCAAATAAACATGTTTATTTTTCATTTTTTTTTTGACAATTTCAGTAGTGATAACAATTGATTGTGAATATATAATATTTTATATATAAGTGACAGTTGTGCACCACATGGCACGGCCAAGTATTTTTTGGTGAGTACTAAATTTTTTTTCGGATTTTAGATATAATCAAATTACTCTGAACACAAAAATTATCAGAAAAAAACGGGTCCTCTAGTTAGTGTGCTAACTCCACAAGAATTTATGTTGCTATTTTCAATTTTTAATGCGGTTAATGTTGCTTCTTTGTTATACTCTTTTTGTGGTTTTAGGGCAATAGCATTTAATGACACAAAGTTCGACGAGTGGCTAGCTGAAGCAATTGCACCAGCAATACCAGCGGTTCATAAATTTTACGAGAAATTATTGTCTTTAGGGTTTAAGATTGTCTTCTTTTCCGGATCAGCAGAGAGAATTAAAGATATAAGAATTTCCAATTTAAAAGGATCTGGTTATCATACCTGGGAAAAGTTCATACTTAAATAAGCATTCTTCTCTTTAATTTGTAAGGTACAAATGACCAGATACAATCCATCAAGCTTTTATTTTTTAATTTAAACATTGGTTTGACTGATTTATTCATGATCAAAAATTAGTTTATACACGAGTAAAATAAAAAAATATTTTTTCAGGTTACTTTTGTAGACACCGTAGTACTTAGTTTTATTTGCTTAATTAGCTATATCCCATTTGAAGAGTTTTCTTGCATGCCCAGTGCGGTGAGCGGGTTTGAGCTTTATTGTATTATCTCTCTTTCTAATTTTAGTTTACCATTTGAAAATTTGGTCATAATCCTTGAATCTTAATGGTGTTAACTGAGTGTAGGAAAGACTTTGAAAAAGGTACCACAGCATTGGTGTACAAATCCAACAAACGCAAAGAACTTGAAGAAGCGGGATACAGAATATGGGGAAACATGGGAGATCAGTGGAGTGATTTACTTGGTACCAACGTTGGTAATCGGACTTTCAAGGTGCCGAATCCGATGTTCTACATTGGTTGATCAATGTTTAAATTAGGACTCCACAAATAAATTTTGACAAGTGTCCATCGTTATGCAATTCCTACTTCAATGTGTTTGTTTTTAGGGTTGTACTGAGAAGTCAGAATCTCTGTACTATATGTGAATGTATTCTCAACCATGGCACTAGGAGAGTTGAGATAATAAAGTTAAATAAGTGGACACTCAAGTCTTTGTATTCTTCCTATATATGTGACTAACTGTGTTGTGGCTTGCAATTACTCCTTTGTCTCTCGCGATGGAGAATGAATCTTCCTTCTACCCAATCTCTTGGATTGTGAGAGTATATCATTAGATTACTAGACTCGATTTATGTTGGAGTAAATATTGGGTATAACGGTTATACCATATCAACATTATCACGTAGTATAACTATTTAATAATAAACAAACAAGTTGGCAAGTGAACTCCATTCTTTAAACACGTGACAATTACTACATTTCCCATGGCTGAGTAGCTATCCCTTGGTTATAGCACCCTTTTTTTATTTTTATTTTTTGAACGGGGTAATATTAGAGCACTAAAAAACTATACTTCTATATTATAATTTTTTCCTCAATGATATATAAGACTCTTTATTATTCTTGGACTTTATTTTATTGTTTTCATGATCATTGTCTATTTACAAATAACTCTAACCAAACTTAATGAATAAAAATGAATTCTTAAATACGTTTAGATTATTAGATATTAATGACATTACTCCGAATACAATTGTCCAATTATATATACTTGATCACAACTTTCCTATTGGCTTATTACAGCTTGAAAACAAACAAAAATACATGGACAAAGGACTTGCATGGTACAGGAAAAACGATCAAAAATGCTGGTTTGAAACATTCATTTTCTCCCAAAAGCACTGTGAACAGTCTGTCAAACATTTTTATTCTTACAATCTTAATGTGAAAACATTCAACTAATGTAGTACATCGGGTCGGGCAACTTGAAAGTTCGATTACCAATGTTGCTCCCAAGTAGATCGCTCCACTGGTCTCCCATGTTTCCAAGTATTCTGTATCCTGTTTTTACAAGCTCTTTGCGTTTGTTGGATTTGTACACCAGTGATGTAGTACCTGTTTCGGAGTCTTGCCTGCAACCACCACCATCGTCAAGAATGTAAAACCAAAACGAGTAATTGACAATTTAGTTCCATAAAATTTTATTTTTGAAGGTTCAACTTTAAATGTATTTGGAACTGATAATTTTATAAATCAAAAAAAAAAATGAAGAAAAAGCCGGTCAAACCAACAGACTATTCTTTATCTCAATAGTAGGTAACTATTTTTGAACAAGAATAAGCTAGTCAAGCCGATGTACAAGTCAAAAATGGGATTTTCTGGAGGCATAGAAAAGAGTACAAGTTGTCCATGGTTTGCTAATTAACCTAATTAAATGTGGACAGATGTATATATCGACATTTCTTTTCTTTTTTTTCAATTGTCAGGGTTGTTTGGGCAGTTTATTCATATTTCAATTTATTCTCTCTCCAGTCTGATCAAAAACAAATTATTAACACCAGCACTAAAGAATTAACGAGGGTGAAATCCCTTATAACTTCGCTTCAAGAGATTTGCTAAGATTTAAACTCAATATGTCTAAATTTATAGTTTCTCGAAATTATCACTTGACCTAATATCGACATTTCTAACCTTTGTTTATACAAATTACCAACTGAAATAGAAAAATGCTTACTTAAGTATGAGTTTCTCCCAAGTATGATAGCCAGATCTTTTCAAATTGGAAATTCTCACTTCTGTAAGTCTTTCTGTTGATCCAGAAAGAAAGACAATCTTAAATCCCATAGACAGCAATTTTTTGTATAGTTTCAGACCGCCGGCACTGGTGGTGCTATTCCTTCAGCAAGCCACTCTTTGAACTTTGTCGAGTTATATTTTGCCGCCCTAAAATCCCAAAAAAAAGGATAATATATAACAATGAAGATAAAAGGATAGCCGAGTGTATGAGATTTATGTCACGTGCGTCAGTAAAAATGAAGAAGTTTAAAGTATGAAACTAAGTCACCAAGAATGTTCAAGATTAACACAATATGAACCGTTGGCCCTTACCCGAATGCAACATCAGACCGAGCATAGTAAGGTAGATTTGAGAGTGCAGTCTCGTCAATGTCCAAGACCCAAACGTCCTTGCCATCTCCGGCGAGCTTGAGGCTTTTGGCGTACTCCAGAGCAGCCTTTGCCACAACATCGCAATCTTCACGGTACTGTTTCCCAAGCATGTAGTGACCAACATAGTCTTTACAATTTTTAGGGACCAATCTCCATCCTTGGATGGTGTTAGTTTCTACACCAAAACGCCAGCTTAGGCAGTCAATGCCCGAGATCCAGTGACCGGATGCACCGGAATTTCGCCGAAGAAGATGAATTTGGCGGGGAGGTAACATTGCATGGGAAGTTGCTGCCATAGAAATGAGAAAGAAAATTAGTATTCTTCCTTCCATGTTTTCTTTGGTGATGAAGCTAATTCATCCTGGTTGCTTAAATAAGCGTTGTCCTCTCAAACTGACCTTTCATTTGCAATGAATTACTCAATAACCTATTGTCAGGTATATATTGCATGGATGGTAGTAATATCCCACCAAAAATTTATCCTCTCCTACCATATTTTTATTATTGTACAATGTTTTTATGTGATCAGTGGTAATAAATAAATAAAAACAAGAAAAAATAAAAATGATTTTTCAATACCATAATACTATCGTGTATTGCAATTTGCAAGAAAAAAATCTATGTATCAAAATAATCAAAAAAATTATTTTACTCATTCGCTAACCAAGATTTTAGCAGTTGGTCTTCATTACTTTTTTTTTTTGAATCTACGATTAGAGGTGTTCAGGCCAATTTATGCGTACGTCGATTAATCCCGTCTCTGATCCAATCAAAAGCGAGACTAGGGTATTTATGAGAGATAAATTTATCTCTCATGGTCTAATCCAAGGGATTGCTAAAATTCAACTTCGTGACGTCTAAATTTATAATTTATCGCTGTCACCATTTTACTTATGTTGCAAACAACCACCATCTCTTTTACAATTTCCACCAACCATTGAGGGTATCTCCGATATTTAAATTTTAATATTTATGGAATTTTAAGATTTTTATCAATTGTTACAAATTATATAAATCAAAGTCAATGATATGAATTAATTTTCGGTACCATATCCGTTTCATCTTTGCATGCAATACTCGTGATAACCCTTTTATCGTGGCATGTAATAGTTGTGATTGCATTTGTTACACAGGATTAAGTCTTTGGAATGAAATAGGCATTCCTCGGTAATTAATGTTTATTCTTATGTTTGGTTGGTAGGAATTTAGAATTCCATAAATGATGGGATTAAGCATTACCAAATTTACCATAGTATTTCTCATTTCATTCCCACATTAGGTACGCCAAATCCATTCACAAAAAAAATAGAAAAATAAAAAAAACCTGTTCTGTTATTTCCCTTCCTGATTATCGGCTCTTACTGCTCACATCTTGCTCTGCTGGGATCTCTCTTGTCTTCTTTCCTCACATCTTCTCTTCTTCCTTAATACGCCCATGACACTCCACCATTTTTCCTCATCCTTTACCAATCACTATATGTCTCTCCCTCATCTCTCTACGAAGCAAAAGAGCACATAAGTTCTGAGGACCAACCTATATTAACTCAGATCCAATTAATCTTAGGTAACTTTTTGTTAAATTTAGTTAGTAATTTTCAAATTCAATTTCGAATTTTGTACAATGATTGAAAAGCAGTAAAATGTGGCATGAGGATCTCAAGGGGTTGTTCAAGTGGTAACAATGGTGAGCTGTAAACCTAGACGTCTTGAGTACGAATTTTGGCAATCTCTTTGGGCCAGACCATAAGAGATTTATCCCTCGCAAATACTCTAATTCTAGCGTTGATGGTCTGTCTTTAATCAGACATAAGAGGAGATTAATAGAGGTGTATATAAGTTGACCCAAATGCTCCTGACTGTTAAACAAAAAAAACTATGACATTAGAGACACCAATTAGGATGTGGGATCAAATATCTTCATTCCAGAAGTCTCATACTGTGGGCATTTTCTGACCAAAAAAAAAATGTTGGCATTTGAGTGAGGTTTATTAATGTTGATCATCCAATCTAACTCATCAAATAGGTCATATGATCTTTAGAATGCCCTATTTTTGACATCGGAAATCATTTATATATTAAAAGAAGCTTACCTGAAGTTATGGGTTTCAACCACTTCTTGTTTTCAGCCTTAGTAAAAAGCATTAGATGGTGATAGGTTCCGCATAGCATCGGTTCTAACTTCTAGCTAGGCAATTGTACTTATACTAATATTATTAGATTGGGCCAAGGAATACATTTAGATTATTAGATATCAATGGCATTGCTCAGAATAAAATTGTCCAATTATACTTTAGCACAAGTTTCCTCAGTGAATTGATTAAGAAGACATAGCCATACTGGCTTATTACAGCTGAAAGCAAAAATACATGGAAAAAGGAATTGCATGGTACAGGAAAAACAATCATAAATGCTGATTTGAAACACTCATTTGTTTCCAAAATCACTGTGAGCAGTTCTGTCATACATTTTTATTCTTACAATCTTAATGTGAAAACATTCAACTAATGTAGTACATCGGGTCAGGCAACTTGAAAGTCCGACTACCAATGTTGGTCCCAAGTAGATCACTCCACTGGTCTCCTATGTTTCCAAGTATTCTGTATCCCACTTTTACAAGTTCTTTGCGTTTATTGGATTTGTACACCAGTGCTATAGTATCCGATTCAGAGTCTTTCCTGCAACCACCATCATCATTGTCTCATCTTTATCAAGGACGTAAAACCAAAACGAGTAGTTGACAATATTTGTGAAATTTTATTTTTGAAGGATCAACTGTAAATGTATTTTGAATAGATAATTCTATGAAAAAAAAAAAGAGAGATGTTATAATGAAGTTAAAAACCGTACCGGGAAAAACAAGCAAATTCTTTTTTTTTTGGTGCTCAAACAAGCAAATTCTCGAAGGGAGAGATGCTAAAGAAAATAGAGCTATGGACAACTTGCACTTTCATCCCCTAATTATTGAATTTTTTAGTATTACACAATCAACTATCTGAACTGTTTTGACATTACCCCAAACCATGTATTATGTTTTGGATAAAAATGTTCATTTGTGTAGTAAAAGATACGTTTTCAAAGTCTACACATTTGGGGTGTAATTAGGAGTAGTGAGAAATTATTAGCTATAGTCGGTGCAATTTCAGAAATCTTATAGGTGAGGGGACAATATGAGCCTGAAAAACCATGCTGGAGGTACAATATAAAACACATAATTGTTAGACGTTCAAGTATAATTCAGGCAGTGCAAAACTAAAAAACTTAGTTGCTGCAATGTGGAAAACCTCTCATTGTTAACCGTATTATATGAAACTAAAAACTATAGTTGGAGGTACTGTGTGCAATGTGAAAGAAAGTCGAAGTATAATTTATCCTAAAACTCCCTTTTTAATACACATATCAAAAGAACTCCCATAGTTTAACCCAACGGACTATTTTTTGTCTCATAAGTAGGTAACTATTTTTGAACAAGAACAAGTTAGTCAAACCAATGTGCAAGTCAAAAATAGGACTTTGTGGAGGCATAGACAAGGGTATAGTTGTCCATGGTTTGCTAATTAACCAAATTATAGGTGGATATAGATGTATATATTGGCATTTCTGATCTTTGTGTATAAGAACTGAAATAGAAAAATGCTTACTTTAGTATGAGCATCTCCCAACTTTGATAACCAGATCTTTTCAAATTAGAAATTCTCACTTCTGTAAGTTTCTCAGTTGATCCGGAAAGGAAGACAATCTTAAACCCCATAGACAACAATTTTTTGTATAGTTTCAGAACCGCCAGCACCGGTGGTGCTATTCCTTTAGCTAACCACTCTTTGAACTTTGTTGAGTTATATTTTATCGCCCTAAAATCACAAAAAAAAATGATAATAAATAAGGATGAAGATAAAAAAAAATAGTCAAGTGCACGAGGTTAACATCACACGGATGAGTAAAATTGAAGAAATTGAAAGTATGAAACTAAGAATCTTCATGATCAACACAATATGAACTGATGGCTCTTACCCGAATGCAACATCAGACCGAGCATGGTAAGGTAGATTTGAGAGTGCAGTCTCGTCAATGTCAAAGACTCAAACGTCCTTACCATCTCCGGCGAGCTTGAGGCTTTTGGCGTACTCCAGAGCAGCCTTTGCCACAACATTGCAATCTTCACAGTTCTGCTTCCCAAGAATGTAGTTGATGGGACTTTTCTAAAATACCCTATGATGAAGACATGTGTCCTTGATTTTACTAAAACACTTGCTAAGATCAAGCACCATCGGCGCACAAGGTCCTCTCCCCCGAGGTACTCGTCATGTAGGATCATACATTCAGTGGCCTCGGTCTGATATGTACCTCGGTCGGCATACCTCCCTCGGTCCCCGAGGTGAGTCTTTCCTCGGTGCCGAGAGGTACCCCCATCCTGGACGCTTCCTCTACTCCAGGATAAGCTATTGACGTACAGGTCATTAGCCTAGGCTTAACTAGGCTACTCATCATGACCTTGTCTTACACAAGTAATGTCAGAACGTACTGGAATACAGAGGTCACAGCCAATAGGGGATGGACGCGTGACATATGATATCACATCAAAGACAGACAAACCGCATGTCGTTGCTGACACGCGACTTGGGAAAGCAAACAATTAATTGCACCATTCCCTTGATGAGACCGCATTCAATGCGGTAAGACTCCGAAATGAAAGGCAATAAATGCTCCTATTACAGAGTATTTATTGCATCCTCCCCGAGAGGAGCACATTGTACCGTCGGCATCCCGACGATCCGACATTAATTGCTCGGGACCCCGAGCAGTTAATTAGAGAAGACATTCTTCATCAGAATCAATGCACACGCTACCTGAGTCTAATGATCACCTACTGACGACACTGACAGCAATCATGAGCTTCTAAAGTATAAATACTCCTTGCAAAAGGCAAAGCGGGTATGCAACAATAAACTCTCTACTACAATACACACTCAGTGTTTTCTCCTTCTTCTCTCTCACTCAAAGACTGACTAGACCGTCGGAGGGGATACGCCGGAAAACACTCCGGCGCCCTTCTAACTTGCTCTTCTTTGTTCCAGGAACCCCTTTCAGCCTCACAGGATCGTTCTTCCTTTCCCAAGGTCTCCCGTTGCCGTTCCAGGTTACCACCGTACCTTGCAGGCTGTCCCAAGCAGCGTGTTTGGTCACTCAACCGGCTCACTCGAAGTTCACCAAGGGAGAGATCTGTTCTCATTTTTTATATTGTGCAGGATCTTGCACGCACAGTAGTGACCAACATAGTCTTTACAATGTTAGTTTCTACACCAAAACGCCAGCTTAGGCAGTCAATGACGGTGATCCGGTGACCAGCTGCACCGGAAATTGGCCGGGAGGTGACAATGCATGGGAAGTTGCTGCCATAAAAATGAGGAAAAAAATTAGTATTCTTCCTTCGATGTTTTCTTTGGTGATGAAGCTAATCCATCTTGGTTGCTTATATAAGCGATGTCCAGTCAAACTGACCTTGCATTTGCAGGGAATTTCTCAATAACCTATTGTCAGGTATTGCATGGATGGTAGTAATATGCCACCAAAAATTTATTCTCTTCTACCATAGTTTTATTATTGTACAATGTTTTATGTGATCAATGATAATAAATAAATAAAATCAAAGAATTATTTATTAAAAATTATTTTTCAGTACCATAATATTTTCACGTCTTGCAATTTGCAAGAAAAAAAAATTGTATCAAAATAATCAAATTTTATTTTTTCTTTTAATCAATTACGTACCAAAATTTTAGCATTTGGGTCTTCATTACTTATGTTGCAAGCAACCATTATCTCTTTTACTTATTCGTACCAATCACGGACAGTATCTCCGATAATTTAAAGAGCAAACTATTAAAAATTAAACTCCGATAAACCCCCTTCGTTTAAACTAACAAAAATACATAACCTATTTTGGCTCCCTAAATTTGGAGAGCTTAGTCCACTCTCTACTCTATTTTCAGTGAATGAAAAGTCAAAAATATTTAATTTGAGATGATATTCAAAGTTTGCATATCATGATACAAAAAGTGATGGTCGTATATGATGAACACCCAGGAGAGGACCAAAAGTGAGAGAAATAAATTTCATTAAGTCTCTGATACAAGAACATCTAAATAACACATATTGCGAAAACCTTACTAAATCTTGTCTGTTGGAGTCTATCACATCCAAGTCAATAGATGATTATCAAAACCCAAAGAATTGTCCTACTCACACCGTTGGTACATGGACCCCTAAATTCGAAGAAATCTCACCAAGTGGCATAAAGCCACTCTCATCAAGTATCAGGCCACCAAAGCCTGAACTAAAATCGCTCTCATTTGACCTCAAATATGCATTTGTAGGAGAGGATGAGTCATACCCATTGGTAATTTCATCTAAGCTTATAGACTTGCAAGAGGTTAAGTTGATTGAAGTTCTTAGAAGCCATAAAAGCACCATTGGGTGGACCATCACTAACTTGAAAGGTATAAGCCTATTAATTTGTAATCATGATATATACCTTGAAGAGGATTCAAAATCCTCTCGTCAAATGCAGCAACACCTGAACCCTTACATGAAGGAAGTTGTGAAAACTGAGGTACTCGAGCTCTTTAATGTAGGGATAATCTTTTCCATCTTCGATAGCAAATGGGTTAGCCCAACCCAAGTTGTGCCCAAGAAGTCTAGGGTCAGAGTGGTAAAAAATGATGCCAATGAACTAGTACCAACTTGAGTTGTCACAAGATGGTGAATGTGTATAGACTATTGAATTCAAAATAGGAATTTATAGTGCTTCTAATTCAGCACTTTGACATTCGATAAATCGAAGGTTTGCAATAGGAATTGCTTCTCATTCCTCAAAATTCTTGTGATCAGCCTGACAATCTCTACATTGCACTTCACCATACCTTATGGGATTGGCGCTGCAGCAAGGTTTGCTCTACATTCTTTTCCTCGTTCATGCTGTAAGTTTGTGACTTTGTGGGTCACATATAGTGGTGTCAATTTGCTTATCACATCACAAACCCAATATTACACAAACTCACAAATTATACGACTCATTAGGATGGATACTAAATAGATGGGAACAATGTTAGACACAAATAAACAGTTTAGTTGGTAATGCAAAAAAAAAAAAAAAGAAAGGTAATGCAACAAGAAAGTGATTTTTTTTTCCAACCATTTCTTTATCCGGTATTGTATGACTTGTATTAGCATTATATAGTATTATGCAAACATGAATATGGAGATGAACACCGTACAAAACAAAATGACACGACCTGAATATAACTGATGACACGACACGACACGACTAAATCAACGCCATTAGTAACAAGTTTGTCTAAAAATTTGTGCTGAATTCTGTAGTACTCGGGTTTCGAATGAACTTGGAGCTGGGAATCCACATAAGGCACGAGTGGCTGTTTGGGCAGTAATGTTTCTTGCAATCACTGAGGCAGTTATAGTAAGCACAACTTTATTCTGCTGCCGATATGCGTTGGACGTGCTTACAGCAATGAAAAGCAAGTGGTGGATTATATTGCTGTTATGACTTGTACATGGATGTGATCTGGAATGAGAAGACGCTGTATGAGTACTTGTAAACCCTAAAAAGGTACGAAATTTATTGTCTCTCCCTGTAGAGTGATTGCCAGAACAGTGGAAGGGACCTGTTCAAGATTTGTTTCTTAAATTTGACTTATCTTTTTGGCATGGATATAAAATCGTTCATGTCATAATCCCATGTCTTTTTTGGGCTTGGTGTTTTGATATGCTTCGCATATCTGTGCAAATTTTGTTGAATTCTCGGATTCCTATCCCTTCTTCATTTTGAAGGAAAGAAAGGCACCGACATATTGCGGTGGAGAACTTGGTGGGGGTCATGCATCTACCTGTTCATTAAATATTCATACAACTTCTGTTTTACTTGGTGAAATTGGATTAGAAGAAAGAAAACTGCTTTGCTGTGGGCATTGTTCTTTTCTGATTATTTTGATGGAGTTCTCAAAATTGAAGTCCTATTATTTTTAGGGTGTGTTTGCTTTAGGTATTAACAAAGAGGGATTGAAAAAAAAAACGCCGGACCCACGTTATCCCTCTTATACCCATATTTGGATATACATTTTGGGCTCGGTATTATCACTTAAAAATAATACCGGCTTTGATGAATAATGTATTTAATACTAAATACAACTTGTTAAATAAACTCACATTTTTGTGGGTTTAAATAGTCCAATTGGGATTTATTTGGCCAAAAGACATTTTTACTATCAAGTAACCCTATGATATAAATATCACTCTTTATCTTGAGGGTTTTTTAATAATTTAATGTTTATACTATCATTCAATATTTCATTTAAACAAAGTATTAAATGAGATAAATGTGTGGCCCACTAATTCTTAATATTTGAAGCAAATATGAGATGAGGATGCATTATTACTACAATTAGTCCAAGGGCCGGATGGATGGGGAAGGAATGGACGGCATTATCTAATTCGGTCCCTTCTAATGCTTAAACCAAACACACCTTGAGATTAGCACACCACTGACTTCTGTTAATTTAGCCCGTCTTGGTTTCACTTTCGTGGTCCCTTTGCAGAGAGTACACTTTACTTTGACACCAAGGCATAGTGGAATGGACAACTTACTGAATTGATGTTTTTCTTTAGGGAAAAGAGGTTTGGGGCAGGTGAAAGAAACATAAGTTGGCTAGACACCAAAAAAAACATGTCTGTACGTTGTTTTGCTGTAGGGGCTCACTTTGAAAATTGAGGTACTACTGATTTCAGATGATGTTTGGCATGATTCAGACAGACATTGGGTTGATGTTTTCTCAATTGGGGTCACTTAGCAATTGTGTTTTGGAGGAGACTAGGGACTTGGTTTATGCTTTGCCCTCTAGAAGAGGATAACTTTGCATTATAGGTGGTCACAGCTCAATGGCTAATGCTGGAAATATGATCTAATGTAAGACAATGGTATTTGTGGTACTTGCCATTGGCCATAGCTTCTCAAGTTGCAGATATTTTGCTTCACATTCTGTGCACTAACCGAAGTGACACTCTTGGCCTTCTCTCTCTATATATACACACATGGGATCGTTTGCTTTGGTCTAATGGACAGATTATGAACATAATGCTTTTGAAATGGACATGCCTTCTTTTTTTCTTAGCTTTCTTTACACATTCTGAATTCACCTTCTTATACATAACGTTTTGAATGTGTAAATCACTTTTGTGCAGTATATTCCTGGAACCAAGACGGTTTTCCCTGGTTTGAAGAAGCCGAAGGAGAGAGCTGATCTCATTGCTTATCTGAAGGAGGCAACATCATCTTGAAATTTTTTACTTTGAAGAGCATCATCATATTATATTTTGTCACAGTTGGAAGAATTTTGCTATTGGTGGCATTCAATAAGGACTTCCAACATGTTATTTCCTTGACAAACTAGACAAGTAAAGGTGATTTTTAGTTGTACTGGATGTATTTCAACAATATGGCAAAATCATTTATCGAAATCTTTGATTTGTATCGGGCAATTTAGAATAAAATAGAAACATGCAAGAACAAATAGTAACATGTAAATTTGTAATAAATAAAGAGCAATGCTAGCTATTGAATCTAAATTATTGACATAATTTGTTGACCAAATTCATTATAACCTTTGGATTGATTGAGACCTTACCAAACATTAGAACTTGGTGTTGATCTAATGATTCCTATGAAACCACATCATTATGTCAACAAATTAAATCAAATTTTTTAGTTCAAATAGCATTATCATAAATAAATTGACTCGTTTGTAGACCATGAAATGTGATTGGACTTTATCTAGATCAAGGCTAATATTTGACATTATGTTCCTAAGACAAATTTTGCCCCCACATTTGGTGTTTATGAAAATCTTAACGTCTGTCTTGTCTTCCAATATGCAATAATTTTCACGCAATTGAAAGTAGCACTTCAATTTAATTGTCCAGCCAACTAGAATGGTGTTGTGCACTCTCATATATGTAGATTGCTAATGACGATTTTTATGAATGTAATGACTGCTTTAATTCATAATGTTGTAAGTATAAAATGATAATGAATATGAGTTATTTATAGACAGAATAGTAACTGTACCAGACGGCTATTGTTTGAACATATACAATCTAGAAGATACAATCACTACAAAAAAAAATCACTTTTAACTGCTAGATTTAGATTATAGCTACAAATATTGTCACTGAATGAATATATTTAGTGACAAAAAATTATTATTGTCATTGAAAGAGTGATATTAAAATTATTTAGTTGTCATAATTATTTGTCACCACTAATGATATATAATTAGTGGTGACTGAAAATATGATAATAAATCTAATTAGTGATAATTTCAATGTTGCAACAAAAATATATTACTAATTCATCACTAATTCTAAATATTTAGGGACAATAATTTAAATTTAGTCACTAATAATATAAAATTTTAGGGATAACATTTTTCAGTTGCAGCAAATATGCCTGTTTTAAGCTGCAATTTATTTATTTATTTATTTATTTTTTTGCCACAGAATGTCAATTTTAGTACAGGCAAAAATTTATGGATTACTCTCACCGTTTTTCACGCGTTAAATATTTCCCCTAAAATTACTCTCTCTCGATCGTCGATCGTCGATCTCTTAACTCCTTAGGCGTCACAATTCCCACTGGTTTGAAGACTCCCTCAAAGACAACTTTTGATGACTCCAATTCTTCAGATCTGATGTTGTACAAGTTCGAATTTTGATTGATTTTCCCATAAATTTTGGTTTTTGATGCTAAATTTGCTCTATCTCTAATTTCTGTTCAACTTTAGGTCTACGAAGCCGTCGCTTTCCAAAACGTTTCACAAAGATCTGTAGGAAATCTTACATTCCTCTGCACAAATTCAACTCCACAACTATGATCAAGTCAGTTTTTAGGCTTCGAATAGACGTATATATGAATGTATTCAAGTACATATCTGTGTTTATGAATTGTACTTGTATTAGTCCACTTTGATGACTCTGATTATTCAGATCTGATGCTCTACGAGTTCGAATTTCGATTGTTGTTCTGAAAAAATTAAGCTTTTGATGTTGAATTTGGTACGTGAATTGATTTATTTTATGTGATCAGCAGTGAATTCTTTGGACTATGGTGTTTTGATTGGGAATTCCGAATGGCACGGACGGAAGACGAGAAAAATGAGAGAACTATACGGAGTCTTCTCAAACTTCCTGAGAATCGGAGGTGTATTAACTGTAACAGTTTGGTAAGTTATTTATTTACTGTATTTTTAAACTTAATTGGTGGGTTTTATTGTTTATTCTTATTTTGAATTCGGTAGTATGTCTTCTTAGTTGGAAGTAGTTTCTACTTATCCAAAAGATTGTTATTGAATTTTGAATTTGTTACTGTATGTTCTTTTTTTATCGTTCATTTGTACCAATAATCCATACTGATAACAATCTGATGGTGCTTTTTGAAATTATCTAACGAGGCCATTAGGGTGTGAATTGGAAGGAGAGATCGTGGGCATGCCCTTTTGTATTTCTATTTTTGTGCTCTTTTAGCGGAGGGAGGTAAGGCAAAATGCTTTGTAAAACTCCTTTCTGAATGCCACTCTCATGACTCCCAAAGCAACCATTCTGTATGTTTTTTAGTGGAGGTTATTTGAAAATAAAACAAAATCTACATGGAGTATGGTAAATGGAGTAGAGTAGTCTTCATCTTGGCCTTGGCTATATATGTTGGGTGGATCACATTACCACAATCTTATGGCTTGCATTTTTGTATGCAAAATACTTTGATTAGACGGCATATTTGCAAGTGAATCTTCTCTAAGCAGTTAGTGGAAAAATTTGTTTGAGAAGCAGGAGGATGCAGCAAACTTGGTGATTTATTATTCGTCTTGCAATATGATATTCAGTGAGGCCCACTGAAGAATGATGGATTCAAGGGAACACATCAACCTTGTTATGGCTTAATAAGATTAAAGTGGCAATCTGGTGTTATCCAAATGTAGGTCAATCCAAGTGAGGTATCCAACTGGGACTTGTGTAACACAACATTATTTGTACTATAAAATAGACACTCTACACATTCTGAAATAGAAACAGAGAAAACTGTAGGAGAATTAGTTTCATAAGTTCTTGAACATATTCTCCATAAATAGGAGAATTAGAATATCCACACCTAGTATGATGGAACATAAAATAGAAACACGAACTAATATTCATCCAGATTATAAAACCCAAATTAACAGCATAAATTAAGGTCTATGGCCGTTCACCAAGCAATAAGGTCTTTCACTTTCATGTTTTAGCGGTTAAACAGTCCAGGAGTCTTTTTAGTATGCCTGCATGTTTCGAACTGTTCAACAGTGGTCACCATTGTAGCTTGAAACTTGCTTTTAATTCTTGAATGCAGAAAATGAGGGAAGAAACAAGGAGAATCGAGCAAAACAGGACATGAGTCATATTGCAGGGACGAAGAGTTTCGCTCGAATTAGTTATACGATAGCATGAGTTGTTATTTGCACTGTGTTAAATACAACACTCCAACTCTCTTCAGTAGGTTGGAAAAACACTTTCTAATCTGTGTTTTACTTTGTTTTACTCTTCTATTTTTGAGATCTCACTGGATCACATCGTTTAGTCATAGTCGAAGTCACATGGTATGTCAATCAGCTTCTTTTCTTCTTCACTCACACATAAAAAAGAATATATGTATATCTGTGTGTGTCTGCATTCTTGAAATTGGGAGAAAGTTTGAGCATTGTTTGGTTGATCTATATCTGACAAATATTAATTTTTTGAATTTTGTTTGACTAATTTTGAGCTTGGGAATTCACTGATTTGAAGGTAAGAGATTGAAAGCTGAGATTTGGGAGGGCAATCTAGTGTTTTTATCATGCTATGAACAGTGAGCTAAGGTATAATTTTACTCTACTTATAGCATTTTATTAGTCACTTAGAATGATGGAATGAGGCTAGCAGCCTGTCTTTAGAGCTGCATTTTTACTCTATGTTATGTCTTTAGAGATGAGATGAGATATCAAAGTCATGTCTTTAGAGATGAGATCTTGATAGAAGTTTGGTCTTTTGTCTTTCCCCTCACAGGAGAGACCTAAATCTGATAGTTACAGTGCCACACGAGAGAGAACTGGATCATTTGTCTTATCACCGACTAAGTCTATTATCATTTATTCTGCATCCATTCTAATTTTGTGTTCCATATAGGCTGAGTGATTGTTTTTTGGAAAAGTTCCATAAAGTGTTGTATTTGGAAAAGTTACTGGTATTGGTATTTGTCTATGATCAAGCAGATTTGTATGCTTATTTGCATTTGTACATTTTACTTACTCAAGCAGACTGATATGCCCACAATCTCATAGGGCTCTCTACCTCTGTCACTGGAATAACCTGTTATGTAGTCTTGATTTTCTTCAATGAATTTCTATTAATGTTGGGTAATTTATGTTAGGTACAAACCAGTGAAAGCTTTGCGCCTCCGAAGACTAAAGACAAAAGATCTAATAATTTGCCAAAAAAAGAATGTGTAGTTGAGACTTGACTGTTATGCAATTACTTTTGTTTGTTCATAATTAGTAAATAATTAGTAACAACAATAAGTTGTCAAAAAATTATGTTTCAAATTTTAGTGGTGATTTTAATTGTGGGTAAAATGTATACTTTTAGCCGCAATTGATTGTTGTCACTAAAAGTCAGGTTTTAATTGGACTTTTAGTGGTGATATACTATATTTTAGTGGCAAAATTTAGTTTACTTGTTACAATAATTATGGCGGCTAAAAAAATTATTTTTAGTGGCAACAATTAAATGACATAGCTAAATGATTTAGCCACACACATATTGCCACGGTTTAGTGACAATAAAAATAGTCATTAAAATATATAGTGATAATTTTTATGTATTTAGCCATAATAATTTTCACGGTTAAAAACAAATTTCTTGTAGTGAATGTAGTCCAGAAGATACCATTGATGTTTGTCTACTGAATAGACACAAAATTCAAAAATTTTAAGCGGAGGAAAATTGAAATCCGAATTAGTGTGAATTTTGAATTTCAAAGGACAGAAATAAAAATTGGGTTAAGGATCTTTGACACAATTCATTAAATGAATTTTCTCTAAAAAAAAATAAAGTCAGGTCTAACCTATATCCATAGCCGAACTCAATCGGGTTGTGTTGTCAAACTAAGCCTATGTCAAACAAAAATTGTGACATCCTCTAGGGCTCAACCCATGGTACAAACTTGGTATATATATATATATATGCACATGAAAAATTTTGTGTCCAATCAATGTGGG